TCGTTATCTCCATAATCATCTTAACCCATAGTATCAGTAGTAGTAATAGTAACAATGATAAAATTGATAATGATAATAATAATAGTGACAATAATGATAATAATAACGATAATGATAATGATAGTAATAATAATAATAATAATGATAATAATGATAATTATGATCATAATAATGATGATAATAATAATGATAACAATTTTAGCAATAGTAACAATAATGATAATAATAATAAAAAAAAATGATTATAACAATAATAATTTTAAAAAGTCAATAACACAATGATGATAATGTTAATGATGATCATAATGATGATAATAATAATGATACTAATAATTATCATAATAATGATAATGATGATAAAAACAACAACAGTAATAACAATAATAATATGGTTAATGATGATAATAATAATAATGATAATAATAATAATAATAATAATAACAATAATAATAATAATAATAATAATGATAATAATAATAATAACAATATTAATAATAATGATGATAATAAAAAAGATAATAATGATAATGATAATGATAATAATAGTAATAATAATGATAATGATAACAATAATAATAAAAATAACTATGATGATAATTGTGTCATTAACAACAAAGCAGATTATAATAACTATAGTGACATTAACAATGATTACAATAATGATGAACTTGATAATAACGCTAATAACAACAGTAACGATGATAATAACGATCCGGATGATAATAGTGACGGTTTAACGAGCTCTTTTGCAACAACATGCAACGGAAGAAGAGGATCTACTGGAACGCAATAGTTTGCAACATCCGTAATGATCTCATTTGCAAGGTTCTTCTCACGCAACTTCCAACCGCGTGGAAGCGAATAGGAAGACGAGTACGCAGAATTAACGTGAAATTATCAATGGGTTTTTGAAGGTAACTGGTGTTGTTAACTTTCCAGGGTCGGCTATTTCTGCTAGCTTTCTTTTTTTTCAGGGTCGGTTATTTGAGTTATTTTTCTTCAGGGTCGGGTTACTAGCTGGAGATTAGTATAATTGTGTAATTTTTATAGTGTAATAGTGTAATTTTATAGTGTAATTTATAGTGTAATTTTATAGTGTAATTTTATAGTGTAATTTTATAGTGTAATTTTATAGTGTAATTTTATAGTGTAATTTTATAGTGTAATTTTATAGTGTAATTTTATAGTGTAATTTTATAGTGTAATTTTATAGTGTAATTTTATAGTGTAATTTTATAGTGTAATTTTATAGTGTAATTTTATAGTGTAATTTTATAGTGTAATTTTATAGTGTAATTTTATAGTGTAATTTTATAGTGTAATTTTATAGTGTAATTTTATAGTGTAATTTTATAGTGTAATTTTATAGTGTAATTTTATAGTGTAATTTTATAGTGTAATTTTATAGTGTAATTTTATAGTGTAATTTTATAGTGTAATTTTATAGTGTAATTTTATAGTGTAATTTTATAGTGTAATTTTATAGTGTAATTTTATAGTGTAATTTTATAGTGTAATTTTATAATTGTGTAATTTTTATAGTGTAATAGTGTAATTTTATAGTGTAATTTATAGTGTAATTTTTAATATATTTAGTTTTTCAGGGTAGGATAATTAACTAGGGCTTTCGGGGTCAGGTTACTAGCTGAAGGTCATCGGGACTGTTTACTAGCTGGAAGTTTTCAGGGTCTGTTTACTAGCTAGAGATTATCAGGGTCGGGTTGCTAGTTAGACATTCTCAAGGGTCAGGTTACTAGCTAAAGGTCATCAGAGTCGTTTACTAGCTGGAGAGTTTCTTTGTCGGTTTACTAGCTAGATTTTTTTTTTCAGGGTCCGTTTATGAAATGGAGTTTTCACGGTGGGTTTAACTAGGAAGAATTATTTTTAGGGACGGTTTATTAGCTGGAGAATTTAAGGGTCAATTTATTAGCCAGAAATTTTCAGGGTCTATTTACTAGCTAGAGGTTTTTCAGGGTTGTTGTTACAATTTTTTTTTTAGGATCCGTTTATTTGTTAGAGATTTTAAGGGTCTGTTTACTATCTAAAGGTTTGAAGGATCAGTTTACTAGCTAGAAATTTTGAAGGTCTGTTTACTAGCTAGTGATTTTCAGGGTCGGTTCACTAGCTAGATATTTTTACGGTCGGTTTATGAACTAGTTT